GGACACCTCGGAATCCCTGCCACTGTCACTCAGGGTGGTCGTAGGCTTCTGTCAAGTAGAGGGGCCCCTGAATTCCTACTCTGAGTCACAGAGACGTGAGGCTTTCCTCTACGTGGTGTCGAGACAGTTCAGTAGAGGGAAGAATCTTATATATATCCAGAGGTTCAAACGGTGTTGAGTGAGACCCGTTGGGAGCATTGGCGTGGGGACCTCAGCTTGCCCGATCCCTCTTGAATTTGAGAGAAGTCAGGCAAGCGCAGGCAGATAAGGCCACACTCTCTGCTCCTGGTGGCTCTGGGGTTGGTGCTGACCTCACTAAGAGACAGGCCTCAAGCAAAGGGAGACAGGGGACCCTGGCCCTCGCAGTGCCAAGGGAGGAAACTGAGTGCAGACCGACGGGCCACCCAGTCACCCTGAATGGGTGGGGAGGGTAAAGCCAACAGTCAGCTGAAAGGGTGGCCCTCAGTACCTACCTATGGACCATGTGAGCATTCAGAAAGAACATAACTCCAACCGGCCAGGACAGACAGGGCCCAGGGATGCGCTGGACCCGAGTGCTCTCCGCCAGAAGCACCATTATCTTCCTTATGACGGCAGGGATGTTTGAAGTGTCAGCTTCAGGACAGCAACGGGGACTGGGGACCTGATCGGGGTGCTCTCCGCCAGAAGCACCATTATCTTCCTTATGACGGCAGGGATGTTTGAAGTGTCAGCTTCAGGACAGCAACGGGGACTGGGGAACCTGATCGGGACAATAATTAACATAAAGATCCTGACAGTGAACTGAGAACACTTCCCAAACCCAGGACACAGGGTCCCCCTTGCTAGCCCCTGCTGTCACCCAGTAACACCTAGGGAGGGCTGAATGGCTGTGTCCCAGGGACACACTGACATTTTCTGCAGGGCTCTCAGGGGAATGGCTGATGAGAGCAGGGTCCTGAGAGTTCCTAGAGCACTGCCTTCAGACGCTGCAGAGGCGGCCTTGGGCAAAGCCAAGGTGGAACCTCCCTGTTGAAGGGACACACACCATCTCATTCTCCCTCCTCCAGGTGCTGGGAAATATTCTCTTGCCCACACAGCTCACTACTATCACTGACCAGTGAGTGACATCATGCCTCGGAGTAAGAAGAATAAGCTTCGTGCCCATGAGAAATGCCACCCACTGAATCAGTCCCAGACTCAGAGGTCTGATGAAGCTACAGTTATGGAAGAAGAGCTTCCCTCCTGCTCCTCTGCCCTGGAGGCTCCTTCCCAGAGCACGTCACCGACCGAGTCAGGTACGACTTTCCAGGAGTCGAGCGGGGCCTCAGCCATCACCACCTCCTCTCCAGGTACATTTGATACAAGTTCTGATGATGGTGAGGAAAGCCAAGATGAAGAAAATTCTTATTCGCTTGAGGTCCTATCTGCTCAGAGCTCAGCAAGTGCTTCTCCCACTGTGAAGGTGGATGTGGTGGAGCAGTTTCTCCTGCACAAGTATAGAGTAAACCAACCCATTTTGAGGAAAGACATAGACACGATCCTTGGAGAGAGTAAACAGGGCGAATATGCTGAGATCCTCAAGGAGGCCTCTGAGCGCATTGAAGTTGTCTTTGCAATTGATTTGAAGGAAGTCGACTCAAACATGTACAAGTTTGTCAGCAAACTGAAACTCCCCAATAATGGGAGGCTGCGTTTAGGCAGGGGCTGGCCCAAGACCGGCCTTCTGATGAACATCTTGGGCCTCATCTTCATGAAGGGCAACTGTGCTACCGAGGAAGACGTCTGGCAGTTTCTGAATATGTTAAAGGTATATGCAGGGAAGAAGCACTTCATCTATGGAGAGCCAGGAAAGCTCATCAATAGAGATCTGGTGAAGCTGAAGTACCTGGAGTACCGCCAGGTGCCTGGCAGTGATCCACCTCGCCATGAGTACCTATGGGGCCCAAGAGCTTACGCTGAGACCAGCAAGATGAAAGTCCTCGAATTTATGGCCAAGGCAGGTGACACAGTTCCTAGTACCTATTCCTCACAATATGAAGAGGCTTTACGAGAAAAAAGGGCACGTACCAGAGGTGCAAGGAGGGCTGGCACTAGAGCCAGAGCAAGGCCTGATCCAATGGCCCCATCTTCTTCCACCCAAAGTGCACAATGAGAACCTTTTTTTTCCTGTAAGATAAAAAGAAAAAAAAAACTAAATAACAGCAGAGATTTTCATGGAAATATCGAAGAATCCCACAGTTAAAGTTTGGGATAATGGTATACAAAAAAAAAATAGTAAAACATCATCAACCTTGATTTAGCTTATTCTTCTCAGTCTTTTCTTTTGTAAACTTGATTTATACCTCAATATACTTAGCTTATTATAAAATGTAGGAGACAGTAATTCTTAACAAGTTAGTCTTCTGACTCAATTTCTCTTCTATTCCCCAAACTTATGTGAGCGTCTGCTCTTGGGAAGGGCCATGGTGGTATGGGGGCCTGGTAAGAAAAGAAGATGGAGCCGCTGCCCATAGAATCATGAGGCTGGAACCAGCTACCATGAAAGGAAGACAGATTCCCTGTAATTCAGAAAGCTCAACTGATAGGAAAGGGCGAAGAAGAGAAGAGGTTCCCCATGAGAGCAGTCAAGTGAAGGTTGCCCGAGGCAAGGCGGTTTGGGGCCAGACAGGGCAAGTCCTCCAGAGGGAAGTCATTTCAAGTAAGGCAGAATGGTGGGCTGGGGGAGACTCAAAGACTCAGGAGGAAAGCGCACACTGAGACCGGGTCTCTGAACGTTTAGAGACTGAATACTGGAACAAAAACTGCTCTTAACAGCCACTTTGGGATTGTGGGTGGGATTCTAGAGGCGGCAACGGAAGAGGTCCCGAACTCCTGTCCCAGTGCCGTGAACACAGTGCATGGACTAGCTGGTTGGTGCCAAAAGTTAAAGGCAGGCCCAGAGAAGAAAAGTGAGGTGTGAGGTATACATGAGGACAATACACAATTTGGGGAATGGCTGTGAGCTTCGTTTACTGTCCCTTACCCCAGGGATCCTTGACAGCTGACTCTACTCAGGTGCTGGCTGTGGTTCTGTCCCAGCACTTGTCCAAATCATAGCATCCTTCCACTGAGTCATTCCCAGTATGTCCCACTGGCCAGCACTGGAACCTGACCAGCTGGCCCCTTCTTCCCTGGCCCCTCCTCTGAGGGATGTGCCCTGCCACCAATTTGACAGCCCACAATCGGCTGCTCTCCTCCTGCCTCTGGGCCTCTCAACTCCCTGGCCATCATTTTCTTCATGGGAGATCGTGTGTGATAGCAGCAAACTCTCGTCCATCAAAGGTGATGACAGACAGGTTTAGTCACATCCAAGGAAAGGGCATTTTGGACACTGAAATTTTGACAGTCCCATGTGTCCCTACTAGAGTCTCAAAAATAAATTCCCAAATGGGCTTGTGCATTCTGTTCAGTACATAAACTACCAGTTTGAGGACATAATGATGTAGGCAGGGAAGGTTTTTGAAATCATCCTGATAAATGCACTAGGGCTTTCATGGTGTCTTGTAATTGAGACTGGCCTGTCAACAAATACACTGACCAAGGAGCTCGATAACCAAATCCTTCCCCGTAAGTTGGAGGTGAAGTAAGGCTATGGCAGTCACTATCTAGCAAACATTCATTGAAGCTGAATTCCTTGAACCACAGAGTCCCTCTAAGCAAGGAAAAATAGTATCTTATCAGCCATGCTATCTTTGAATGGAAAAGATTAAAATAATTCAGCGTACTCCCACCACCTCTTACCTGAGTACTGGCTCCAAGGAAGGTGGTGGCTTTCCCTTCTACCTGATGACACCTGTAACAGTGCCCCGCACACTGTCATACTGTAGGTTGCCGAGACTCTCAAGGTGAGTTGTTGACCATGCTTCTGTGAAAGGACAACCTTCTAACCTATTGAGACCATAAGAGTACTGCAAAAGACACTCCAAATCATCACATTTGAGCACAGAAGGCCCACCTTCCTTCCTGAAGTTTGACAGGAGTCCTCTTGAAAAGTGACGTCCTCTGTATTTTGAAGCACGTGTCCCATGGTAGGCTCTCCAAAAGCTGTAGAATTGCAAGGCAGATTTAGCCTTCTGAGAAACTCCACCGGGAATGGGAGGGGTTGCTTTCATGACAAGTTTCAATAGTTGGTCTTTTATTGCACACCTAATCTGTAAGTTGATGGAGAGACAGAAAGTGCTCATCCATATGGTGTCTTGCCCGCCTCCTCTGGCACACTGGTCGACTCTATTGCCAGTATGCTGGCAGTGGGGAAGGGGGATGTGATATCCCTCATCACTGAAATGTAACTAGTAGCGATATTATTTATTTCTGGGACAAGGCTTTAGAGAGGCGGTATTCGATCCACATGCTTTCTTCTCCATTCTATAACCCAAACAGAACCCATGTTCAGAAGATAGGAACACATGATACAAGCAGCCTGATGACTTGTGTCCCCTCGTAGAACACAGCACCTGCCAACCGACATGGAAAAGTGACCTTTCATTGTGTGAACTTGTTCAGGTTTCAGGTCATGTCTGTCGCATCATCTAACAGTTACTTGATCAAATACACCGCTGCGATTTCTGTTTTTGAGCTTATTGGAATCTTTTTATTACAAAGACAATGGTACTTGTATTTGCACAGCAAAATAATTCAGACATCACCAAGAAATCACAAATGCCTGCTTCACAGCATTCCTAGAAACTTCAAAACCTCCACAGTGGTGAATACAATTAGGATGTGGTGGATACTATTTTATGCTGATTCTGTAATTATTTCCTCCAGGACTTATTTATTTTATAACAGAGTTTGTACCTTTGGACCACCTTCACCCATTTCATGAACCCCCCACTCCCTGCCTCCGCCTTGCATACCAAAGACCACCAATCTGTTCCTTGTGTCTGTGAGTTTGTTTGTTTTGAGATTCTCCACATAGATGAGATCCTATGGTTTATGTCTTTCTCTGTCTTACTTATTTCATGTGCTGGAAGGCCCTCCCGGTCCATCCTTGTGATCGCAAGAGGCAGGATTTCCTTCTCTGTTATGTCTGAATAATATTTCATTATCTCTATATATCACATCTTCTTTACTCATTCATCCATCCATGGATACTTAGGTGGTTTCCAAGTCTCAGCTGTTCTAAATAATGCTGCAATGAATGTGAGGGAGTCAGTGCAGATATCTTTTCGTGTTAGTGCTTTCATTTCCTTCATCTTCATAGATATAATAATAAATGGTGATTTTCAACACACATGGGCTTGATAGTCTTTTCTTTTTTATAGCTAATCAGTCATTATCACAATACAGTGTATATTTTTATATCTGATGTTGCTGTTTGCACCACTAAATTCATTTGTTTCCATATTTCTTATATGTCTCTATTTAACATGTTTCATTTTTTCCATGTCAATTGGACATATGGAGCATACTTATAATAACACTATTGGTGCCATTGCCTACTTATTCTATCATCTGTACCATTTCTAGATCAGTTTTGATCAATTAGTTTTTTTCTTCTTGTGGATATGTTTTCTGGCTTCTTTGCATGCCTGGCCATTTTTGATTGGATGCCAAACTGTGAATTTGGCCTTGTTCGCACTTATCCAACACAAGGGTGCTAGTGACTGGTTTATATACATGTACTCTTCAGCTCTGTTCTGCATCTCACATAGGATTCTGAGAAACCCTATGATCTTTTTGATTTTGCTAGTAAAGTTTGTCACGTAGGGCCAAAGCGGCATACATCTCGGACTGACTTTGCATCAGCACAGAAACAAAAACTCCTAAATATGCTTTCTGATGCTCCGGGCACACTCTGGTTTTCTCCTCTGACTGGTGGGAGCACAAAGACCCCCGTGTGGACTCTGGAATTCTCTCTCTGGGGAGCTCTCTCCTTCTGGTCCTTTGACCTGTGAACTCTGATCCTCAGCTTCATCTCCTCAGCTCCATAAGACAACCAGGTTTTACCTGTGCACCTGACCCTGTGCTGCGAGCTGCAGGCATTAAGCTGGGGCACTTCTCGGGTCGCCTCGTTTGTTTTCAGTCCCTCAGGAGCACGGTCTTCTCTTGCTGGATGTCCAGTGTATTGAAAGTGGCTGTCACTTATATTTTTTCTCAGTTTTCTTAGTTCTTTCAGTCAAGCAGCTACATTCATTTTCTGATATTCTTTATTCTCCAGAAATATATGTTGTTTAATCTAAATTTAAAACCTACATTTTTATGACATATAATTATTCCCAAACTGTAAGGCAATGACCACTTGAAACATATTAGAACAAAAACTTTTACAGACTGTGGGACACCCAACACACATATATGTGTGTATATGTGTGTATGTATACTTATGTATATAAAAATATGTATGTGTGTGTGTGTGTGTGTATGAAAGAGACATTTACATACAGAAAGGAAGGTTTAAACCTACAGGGCAAAATACAAACATGTCCTCCTGTTTGTGGAAAGGTACAAAATTACTTAATTTTATTATTTATGCTTTCAATATTTTCCAAAACTGATAAAACACATGAGTTTCCTTTATGATTAGAAAATACTATAACTATTCAAAATATGATTTAGATACTTGCATTCATCAGTGTTCTCCACAAAAACAGAACCAATAGAATGGAGTTGTATTTATGTTTATATATTATAAGTCATTGGCTCACATGATTATGGAGGCTGACAAGTCCCACGATCTGCAGGGTCAGTGGACAAGCAGGAGACCCAGGAGAGCCGATGGCATAGTTCCACGCTGAAGGCAGCAGGCTCAAGGCCCAGGACGAACTGATATTTCCGTCAGAGCCTGAAGACAGAGAAAAGCCAGTGTCCCATCTCAGAGGCAACCAGGCAGGAGGAATTCTTCCTCACTCAGGGGAGAGTCAGACCTGTTCTAATCGGACCTCCCCAATTGTAGCGGTGCACCCACACTGAGGGGGGTGGTCTGCTTCCCCCAGTGTACTAATGTAGATGTTAATCTCATCGAAAACACCCTCCCAGAAACACCCAGGGCTTGGAAAATATGAATCACCTGTTGCAATGAACCCGTAATTTAAGTAGGACTCTTGGTATTTTCTTTTAAATGCAGCTTTCTTTTGGTTGGCAGTCTTAGAGTCTTCTGCTGTCTCATTATTG